ACACAGACTGGAGCAGCCACCAACTTGTCCAGATACCCTGTAAGAAAAACATATATCAGTCACGTCACGTAGGACTCACGAACCTCAAATCAAGTGTCAGTTTTGAACTTGTCTATGATTCTGAAAAAGCAGATATAAATTCTATTGGAACCTCCTCTCGGCTGATCTAAGTCAGGGCATGGCTAACTCACAGATTGAACCCTGAAATAACCTCTGGGCTGATCTAAGTCAGGGCACGGCTAACTCACAGATTGAACCCTGAAATAACCTCTGGGGCTGATCTAAGTCAGGGCATGGCTAACTCACAGATCAAACCCTGAAACAACATCTGGGCTGATCTAAGTCAGGGCATGGCTAACTCACAGATTGAATCCTGAAACAACCTCTGGACTGATCTAAGTCAGGGCACGGCTAACTCACAGATCGAACCCCAAAGCAACGTCTGGGCTGATCTGGGCTGAACAAGTTCTACTTCATGATCGTAGTTTGCTTTGGTAGCGACTCCAGTGACAGGATATTATTTATAATTTCACTTTTGACCTCAGATACGAGATAATGAGCAAATGTTGGGTCAGGGATCTTTCTGAACGTCCATCATTTCAACAATTGTGTAACGAACTGGGATCCTTTCTACAGGAAGAGGCGGTAAGCAAACAACGCTATCGACATTTTGAGCCCAATTTATTCATCCATCCATCCATCCATCCATCCATCCATCCATCCATCCATCCATCCATCCATCCATCTGTTGATTGATCGATTTATTTTCGTGGCTTTTGCATCCATTTATCCATCCATTTTTATCTTCCTAGGGATACGAAGAATTGTTCATCAGTACAGAGCCAAATGAATCCAGTGAAACGACGACAACAAACTTGTAGATTGTGAAACGGCACTGTTTTATCAACAGCTTCAAAGTAGGCCAATATTAGAGCTACTTGTAGATTGTGAAACGGCACTGTTTTATCAACAGCTTCAAAGTAGGCCAATATTAGAGCAACTCGGGTCAAACATTTGATGATGTAATGTCTATTTTTAGACAGATTCTTCTAGGATGAAAACATGTAAATACCATGTAATATATGTCTAGGGCTGATGACGTTACGTCTATTTTAAGACAGATTGTTCTAGAAGGCAAAGCCATCTAATCTGATTTAAACGAGAAAGCAATTCAGTTTCCCAGGAGAAAAGTGACTGTAATTGTGTCCATGTTATGACTGCCATCACGTGATGGTGTGGGAAGCACACGCGTTTAGGCGCAAAAAATCCCGCCATATCCACAGGTAGCCCAGCAACAAAAATGTAAATTTTAGACAAACTTCGGGGGGAACGTCGTCCCCTAGCCTCAAGCCCAACTTTGCAGTTATAGTTGAATTCAGGGGGACGGGGGATTATCTAGTCTTTACTTCAATGATATATACTACTAAATCAGTTCTAATTCGACCCTAGGAGATGTTCACGATAGGGCTAACCTCAATATCTCCTTTCGCACTCACTGATGCGAATAATTAGTGGGTTTTTTTATTATTTTATTTATTTATTTATCAGTATTTTGTCGTTTTGCGTTCCGTTATGAAGAAAAACAGATCTAAATTAGCTTTCCCACTTTCAAAAGTGCTCCGCCGTTGATGCGAAAGAAATAAGTCTTTTTTTCACTAGCTATTTTTCTTTAGGCAGTTCCTGAACGACAGAACATTAACTAGTGTTGATTTAAGTATTTCCCTGTTTATATTTCGGTAATACCCCTTACATCCAGTAGTACGTGTTAATCATTAAAATGTATGACTCTTTGACACCGGTATTGTTATTGTTTGATTAAACGACATGAACAGAAAACCATTACAATATACTAAGTAATGAATAGGTATAAAGCTAAAAAAAAAGCAAAAAAAGAACAAGAAAATAATGAAATGAAAGAAAAAAGAAAGGATGGAAGAAAGGAAGGAAGGAGAAAAAAAGAACAAAAAATGGAAGGGAAGGAAGAAAGGGAGGGAGGGACGGAGAGAGGAGAGAAAAAAAAACCCCACACATATAATTTGATCATTCTCAACGACACACTTAAGAAGTCTGACACACATCCGTTAGTCAAGAGGCATCCCAATTGCATCCCTTGTTGATTAGGTAAATGTTCTAATGAGTTTTCTTAATATATGTTCTGAAATGACAAGTGTCAAACGAACTACTTTTCATGAATCTTCGCGCCTGTGTTAGGTCAAAAGGCTCATCATCAAAACATATCAAAGAAAACATTTTTATATCTCATTCTTTGATTCTTGCTTTTCACTTTATCAAATTATGCTTTAACTTCATTTTTTATTACCCTAATCAAAAAATTTGTAATTGTAAGGATTCCTAAGTATATTTATAATAATTATTATTCATTGGCTTAGCTGCACATGGGTTAATATCAGTAGCTACGTATGTATCAACTCATCCATCTTTGCAGGGTGAGTAAAGTCTAAATTACTTTTGCTATTTATGATTATTACTAATATTATTATTATTACTATTATCATTATTTGCCACTATTTTCTAATATATATATATTATTAGGATCAGTTTTTACTAAATAGATTTAATGGTTATTCAATATATTTTTATTGTAAGATGTTATAGTTTTTTCTTTCTTTTTATATATATTTAGTTTATTATTATTAGTTATATTATTAATATCATCGTTATTATTAGAAGCTTATTTCAATGCTTGCTAATTTCACCTGATGCACGAAGACTTATAAATCATACAGGAAATATTCATTATTTAACTAGGATAGTTTACATATAAGATATTAACTCTATCCTGTTGCTAGCATACTCAAAATCATTTGGTAAATGATCCTTTCTGAGGGAGCATCAAAAACAAAAAAACAAAAACAAAAAAAAAAAAAACGTGTACTCCGTAAAAGCTAGTTTAAGTAGGACACTGAACTGTGAGATTCTACCTCGACGACATTCAATCAGTTTTGATGATTTTGGACATTGATTTTTGGACGACATTGAGTAAGTAGTACTTGAAATTAAAAAAAAATATTTTGTGAAATTCGTACGGATGCTGTCAATAGCAAAGCAAGGAAAAGAAGAAAAGAGAGAAAGAATAAAAGGAGGAAAGACGGGAATAGAAAGTACGTCGAAAACACGCAACACAATTCTTTAATCCGAAGTTTTTTTTTCTTCCTTAATGTAGTGGTAGTGCGTGTGAATAACAGTGTGCTAGATTGGTCGAAACCTGTCTTCATATCRAATTTATTCGCCTACTGAAAAAGAACTAATCAGTGATGAACGTAATGATTTCATTTCAGGAAGTAAGTATTTAACTCGTCAGCACTTTCTAAAGGTTTAATTTCCCTTCTTGTTTACGCAACATAATAAAGTTTGTTTTTTTTATCATGTGTAAATAATCGAGGACTGAATGCATGGCTTTTGGCTGACATCATTTACATTTTGAATGCAATACAAATATATGAATCAAACAGAAATTAAAATTAGACAACTGCTAAGTACTGAATACTCACTTCCTTAAATCAATAATTGACTCCAGTTAATTTCACACTCCAAATGGCTTTAGAAAACATTCAATGAATACACTTATATATTTCAATAAAGTTAGTCACCTGAAAAGCTATAAAGCTGAGGCCGACAAGGATTATGGGTAGATTCATTTTACACGTTCAACGGCTTGATAACTGTTCATGGACTTGCGAATCTTACCGGTTGCAGTCTCACCTCTTCTGAGCATCATCGAGCTGTAATTTGTATTAAACAAGCTTTGTATATATATGCTTTTTTGATATGAAAAGTTTCCCATGATGCTCAGTGATCTCAGCTTTCTAGGTTTTTGGTGACTAACTTTATTGAAATAAGTGTATTCTAAAAGCGCAACGCAATGGTAAATAAGTTAATCGATGTGGAGAAATGTTTAGTGTTGAGGAGATGACGTAACTGACTCCCACTGACCCCTCTTTAATTTAGTTTCAAAAATATGCAATATTCCCTATCAGAGTATCAAGAAAAAACATTTACCAGTGATTTTTAATTAAATAAATATATTATCAGTGAAGTTTCAGCCTAATTAAATTTGAAATTTGTGATCTTAGTTAAAAGATTTAGAAAAAAAAAGGTGAAATAAAATCAATTACCGTAGAATTTTGCTTTTATTCCCGACTTCCTAAGTTCATATAATATAGTTATAATGATAGCCCCTCATGTTAAGTKGGCACAGTTATCTATTATATATTTAGAATATTGAAAACGGTTATCCCTAAAAGTAATAAGATTGTTAATCCTAGAGTTTTTTATTTCTTCATTTTTTTCGGTAATTCAATTATCACTTATTGGTAAAATTATTTTCCCGTTAAACATAACCTTTAAAAAATGAATGGTATACCTAAACTAGAGCTCTAACTGGAGAGATCGATTTTGAGCGTGTGAATTGGCAGCAAAGAAAAGGTAATTTGCTAGATAAATAGAAAAGTTAAATGAAATTCGTCTTTTGGCGTGGCTCACTAATACTGCTGTTACAATTACGTGACTCGTTTTAAAAAACAACCAAGGACTAAGCTATTAGAGCCGGGAAATCCACTTAGGTTTATAGTTCAAAGAAGAAAACACTTCTTAAAAGGAGTTTAAAATATTCTAGATCCAAATTACTGAAAATCATACGCGTTTGGAATCCCACCAAGTGCTGCGATGTAAGGACACCTGCCGTCAGAACCTACGAGCAATTAAATGATATCCTATTTTGAGTTTTTGGACGTAATGTTTTATTCAATCAAAGGATAACCGGGCCAAACGAGGAGCACTTGGTTTAACTTGTTGTTTCCTTCAACGTGTACCATCGTGTTGCAAGAAAGTCTTCTTCGTGCGTGCAAGGTAGCTAAAAATTCTTCAGAATTGGTTAAAGTCCAATTTCCTTAATGAGCCGGTATGCATAATAAAAGTTGCAGCTGCTGTCAAATCTCCTTAGGTTACTATCTCGAAGTTCTACCACGCAAGCTATAATCACTTATTGAACCCAAGCGAGTAACTCTCCAAGCTTCTGCGAGTCGATGAGAAAATCAAACGAAATCGGACTTGGATGAACACCTTTCATAGTGGTCAATACTCAGTTGCATGAAATCTTGAAACCTAGATCTAATATTCGAAGGTTTTATTTGGCAGTGATTAATCTGAACTGAGAAGAGATCCAAAAAGCAACGCCGTAAACAATCATCGCTACCTCGGGTGAGAAAAACTGCAAAGATGTTTAACGAGAGCTTTGGCGCCTGCTTTGGTTTGTCACAAACTAAAAGCAAGCATCAATTATATGAGAAATGTTTTCTAAAACAAGACTTTTTATAATCCTGTTTAATTAAAACACTAATAGCAGCCAAAGTAACTATGTTTTTGAAGGCAGAAGGTTTGATATTACACTATCTGCCCGGCTGTTATGGACTTCCATCAAGTATCTTCTTCCATCAATGAGGATAACTTGTAACGGCCCCAAAGATAAACCAGATAAAAAGATATATTGCTAAATTGAGGAATAACCTTTTTTTCGATAGGGATAATTAGTTCGCAGTCAGTCTCGAAAAAGAGGTGACTGTCTTTAGAAAAGTGGCCCATTTTAGTATACGTTACTGATGGAAACTTTTTGATCCAGTCTAGAAGGCCTTATAGTCTCTATAGTCAATAACGGAGTATCTGGACMAAGAGTGTGTCGTCTTGTTGCTCAACGAACGCTTTTATCTGGTACCAACCAACCCAAGTCATACACAGGGGCATTTAAGATGGGAAACAAAACAAGTAAGGCTAACGAAACCAGCGCTGGGCTGCCAAAATTGAATTTGTCATTCATTACCCTTACTTTACCGAGGCAAGAAACGAGAACCACAGCAAAGCCAACTGACTTGGTCTCGAGCACCATGATATCCAAGTTACCTTCACAGCCACCAACAACTACACAGCCAGCACCAACTACACCAGAGATGAAGATGAATTCAATGAATTCATTGAAAGAAACGGGTTTGAGTGGAAAGACGGTAGAGATATTCGCTTTAACTTCAAGTGCGACTGTTATCATCATGGTGTTTTTGATCTTAGTGAGGATGTATCGAAGAAAAAAGCAACAACAACAACAACAGCTCAATGACGATTCGGCCATTAAAAAGGTATTTACAACTGTCATTTGTTTGCTTATTTGTGTGTTTTAAGTTACACGTTTCTCAGTAGCAAAGGACACAGACTGATAAAAGAACTGCACCCTCTTTTTCTAATTCAAACGTGTGGAAAACCCTTACAATCACTTACTTAATTTTAGTGAAGGCAAAGTTTTGCCGTTCAAACTAAAAGACTTTTTTTGAATCGTTGAAACTTTAGAGTTCACGCACTAAAACCGTGAACATCAAATAGCACTAATTAGTACTATTTCATACAGAATCCTTTGTTTTCTATTGTTTAATTATCACTATTTAGTGCTAAAAATTAGTATTTGTTTCACGGATTTATAGTGTGAGCACTCTACTGGCAGACTACCCCGGGCGGATATATCTTATTAAACACTTGCTAAGTTTGGCCTAAGTTCACAAGGGAATCAACGGGAGTAAGCTAGTTCTTTTTCTACTTTGCCAGTGAGATTAGTGAGTTTTGACGAGAGAATATTCTCTTGGTTTTGATCATTCATTCAATTATGTATTTGTTTATTTTATTTATTAATTGTTTTATTTTATTAATTTATTTTATTTATTTATTTATTCATTTATTTTTTTTATTCATTTATCTATTTTAGTGGATGTTTTCCTAAGATTAGAGACGGATATTCCTAGTAAGACATAGGAGTCCGCCATGTCATGCGGTGTTGAGGTCGGGCCTATTTGTTATTGTTTTTCCTATCCTAAAACTAAACCAGTAGTCGTCTAATGCACTAGCCATGAAGAAAGTGGTCAGCATTCGTTCTATTACGGGATAGACCTCTTGCATTGATTTCCTAGAGGAATTGTTCTTGGACACAAAAGAATAGGCCGTCTTTTCTTATGAAAAAAAAAAAGAAAAAAAATCCATTGTTTTGTCCCCCAGCACGATTCCTCTCGGGACTATGCAAGGGGTCTATTGGTAACGAAATAATACGGCATAGAATCGTGGGTATGTCATTCATAGTTCCGACTCCGACAACAACAAGCCAACCAATCACCGTTGAAGTAGTTTTCCCACTGGAACTAAAAGCTTGTCCCACAAACAACTACACAGTATCTGTTTTAAAGAGTACTACAAGGATTACGAAGCAATCTTCTATTCTTTCCGCAGGGCAGTAAACTATTAAAACGATTTATAATCAATTTTTCGCGGACACAGTTTTAAATTTTGAAACGGAAATTTTGAAAATCAGGGGAGTTGGAACAATGAGTTGACTAAGCAAGCGGTGCTTCTCGAATGAGTCCCACAGTTCTATGCGGAACGTGTTTGTTACCAGGCCGTTCCCTTTATCTCGTAGCTTGACGATGTTTCTCCAACACCTTGGCGTGAGATAGACAAGGGATTCATAGCAACAGGCAGGGAACTGGGGTCTGGTTTCTTTGGAGTGGTGCTACAAGGAACAGTGATTCTTGATGGACAGTCCAAGCAATGTGCTGTCAAAATGCTCAAAGGTATTTAACAATTATTCACAGAAGGCGAAGTGAACCCGCGTTTTTTTTTTTACCACAACCGCTGACTCGTCCATCGGCCCTGCTCAAGTGCTCACCATCGTATGTGTACCTATGTGTTTTTTGGGGAGGGGGAGGGTACTTAATTCCCTTATTTAACAGATCAAAAACAGTTTTCCGCGTTTGATACTCTGATCAAAACACTTGGGATGTTGAGAGAACACTAGAGGAGCGTAGGAAACCACGACGCGTCTCTCAACATCCCAAGTGTTTTGATCAGAGTATCAAACACGGAAAACTGTTTTTTGATCTCTTTTATAAAATAACAAACACGTCAAAAAATGAAAAAAATTTCGTATTATTCTGATGTATTTGTAAAGGATGACGCGAGCGTAATACCCTCATCAAACATGGTTTTCGACCAATCGTCACGCGCGTACTATCCCAATTATTTTATAAAAGATATTTATTAAGTGTTATTTACAGATTATGCTACAGAAGCGGACAATAAGGACCTTCTCAACGAGTTACACATCATCTCACGGATTGGACATCATCCAAACATCATCAACCTTATCGGAGCGTCTACTAAAAGTGGTAAGTGGTCAACATGTGGCAAGTGTTTGCACATGCGTACTAACATAAGAAAATCGTCAAGAGTTTTCAAACGCTACTTTAGTCTAAGACTTGAAGGCAATAAATCCTTCCGAAAAAAAGTTTTCCTTTTCTTGCACATTAAAGAAGCCTAGGACCTCTGAAAAACACTTCATTGATGAGGGGTTCAATATCTTAATTTCAATATTAGTTTTCGCTCGCTTTTAGGTTGTCGTCGCTCATAAGTCGTAGTTTTCGCTCGTTTTTAGGTTGTCGTCGTTCATCAGCCGTAGTTTTCGCGCTTGCTTTTAGGTTGTCGTCGATCATAAGTCGTAGTTTTCGTTCGTTTTTGGGTTGTCGTCGCTCAACTAGCGACTTATCGGTGTGTTAGCGATATCCAGAATCGACAAAAAGAGCGAAAACACCGACGAATAAGTCTATATTTTCAACATTCTATTTCATTTAGGCCCAGCACACATAGTTCTGGAGTTCGCTTCTAATGGTAATCTACTGAATTATCTACGTGACAATCGTGACGAAGTCTACACCAATATGACGACATTACGACCAGACACCAAGCTGGATCTGAGAACCAGACTGAAGATAGCTTATGAAGTAGCTCAAGGAATGCGACATCTCAGCTCTAAAAAGGTGCGTGTATTGATTTTTATTCATTGGGGCGTACTTGCACTAAGAGGTCACGTGATCCTTCTACCCTTTAACGAAGGTGTGTCAAAATGAACTCAAGAAATGGAAAGAGCACTTTGAGTGAGCTCTTTTATTTCATAGTAGTACTAAGTGCAGCTTGACTTACACAGAGGTTGTACAGAGGAACATTTGTCGCTTAACAACTTGGAGTGCAGAGAAAGAGAGAGAATTCAATTGACGCCGCTGGGGAGGAGGTATTGGGGTGCCTGCAATCTCTCTTTGTATTAGCAGACAGACAGACAGACAGATACACAGTCAGAAAGACAGACAGACAGACAGACGAAGGCATACAACAAAACACCAGGATATTACTGAAGCATTTCCTGCGTTGTAAGTGTGTTCACAGAGACCTGGCAGCGAGGAACGTCTTACTTGATGAACACTTCGTTGCTAAGGTAACAGACTTTGGACTCTCAAGAGACGTGTACGAGAAAGGTGTTTACGAAGTCAACACTCAGGTATTACATAGTCCTTACTTCCAAACTTTCTTATTTTATTGAATTCTGAAACAACCTCTGGGCTGATCTAAGTCAGGGCATGGCTAACTGACAGATAGAACCCTGAAAYAACCTCTGGGCTGATCTAAGTCAGGGCACGGCTAACTGACAGATAGAACCCTGAAACAACCTCTGGGCTGATCTAAGTCAGGGCATGGCTAACTCACAGATACAACCCTGAAACAACCTCTGGGCTGATCAAAGTCAGGGCAACAGATCAAACCCTGAGACAACCTCTGGGCTGATCAAAGTCAGGGCAACAGATCAAACCCTGAGACAACCTCTGGGCTGATCTAAGTCAGGGCAACAGATCAAACCCTGAGACAACCTCTGGGCTGATCTAAGTCAGGGCATGGCTGACTCACAGATCGAACCCTGAAACGACCCTCTGGGCTGATCTAAGTCAGGACACAGCTACTTCAAAGCCCGAATTCGAATTTAAATAGAAAAAAATCTTAAACCATTTTCTTTATTTCTCTAAACTATATATTAATCATGTGCCTCTAACTCTCAGAGTAAGATGCCATTAAAGTGGATGGCTTTAGAGTCTTTGGAAACAATGAAATTCACCACTCAAAGTGATGTGTAAGTGAATACAAATATTTGAGTCATCTTTTTTTTGTGTGTGTTTTCCACGCATTAAGATATTTTATTTTGATTGCGCTGCAGATGGTCTTTTGCAGTTTTGATGTGGGAAATTGAAACATCAGGTAACTTTAGAAAAATTAACATTAGTTTAAAAATATAAACTAAAATGGTACAAAACGTACTATATGTAAATATTCGTTGAATAATCTGCTGCAAAAAATGAACTAATTTTCGCAAAATTGTAAACTAATTTTAATTTTTCATTCACAAAATACCTCGATTACTTCCCATGGACAACTTCGACGATACGGCGGCCATCTTGGATTGCAAGGTGTTATGGGGCGTCCAGGGGGCAAATAAAGCTTTGCTACAGTAATGACGTCGATTGATATTAACAGCTCACCACAAGAGAATACAACAAACTATGAATTAAGACGGCCTTTAATGAAGATGAATTAAGACGAATTAAGATCACTTTTAATCATAAAATAAAGACAGACATACGAAACTCTATATATCTTCCGTCATCTTCGTTATTTTTTTTTTGTCTCCTGGCAAGATGACCGCCGTATCGTCGAAGTCCATTTAAAGTGTTGAGGCAAAACATGCGCAGAAAATGAAGATGCGTACAAAATTTGCGCTATCTATTATACAATCATCCACTAAATTATGTAGTATAATTTAATAAATTTTGGATTTATTATGTGATAAATGTCTACAGGAGCAACGCCTTACCCAGGTCTGATGGGAAGAGAGTTATTTAACGAGCTATCGAAAGGACACAGATTGGAGCAGCCACCAAGCTGTCCTGACAACCTGTAAGATAATGATCCCAAGACTAGTTAGCTATGATTTTCCGCCAGTAAAAATTATAGTTCTAACTGCTTATATTAATATGATGTGACATGGACGCCGAGATTGATTATGGTAGATCAAGATGATGCCATGCTGACTAAAGATAATAATGATGATGATGCTTTTGTCCTCAGATACGAGATAATGAGCAGATGTTGGGTCAGGGATCCTTCTGAACGTCCATCATTTCAACAACTGTGTAACGAACTGGGATTCTTTCTACAGGAAGAGGCGGTAATTGAGCACTGGATTTCTTAGAAAAATACCATAACACACCCTAACAGTTTATGCACCATCCTGCTTGTATTCATCACCTTATCAATAACGAAAAAATGGTGGCCATGAATATCAACAGAATCTTTTGATTGCATGTGACGTCACAGCCGCCATATTAAATTCATGTACAATACAATACAATACAATAAAGTTTATTTAAGGAGGGTGACACAATTAAATAAATTTTAAAAAATTAAATTGTATTGTACATGAATTTAATATGGCGGCTGTGTATGTACTTAACAATGATGGTCAAATAATTTAGCCATTCGTTATCATGACAACTCAAGAAGTTGCAATCATTGAATCATCAGAAATACTTCGCCAATGAATATCTGAACTGTTGTTAAGTATAATACCGCTGATCACAAAAACAGTGCGACAAATCAACCTTTTTTWAACTCTGTTCTTACAGGGATATGAAGATCTTTTATTGGCTAATCAGACCGAAGTAGATGAGGGAACTCGAACAGAAGACCACAACAAGGGAGGAGATACATAAGAATGACCCGTGCCTCTTTAACATGGACCTATGAGCCTGCAATCGTTTTGGTCTCCGCTAACCCCCACCCAACGCCTGGAAATAGCTATACGACTTGTGTACATATTCAGATTTGAAAAACCAGATGTAGGTTTGTTGACTTGACATTAAAGAATCCACAATCGACCACAATGCACTACGCCCTTATATTATCATTTACATCGTTCGCCTACATCGTTCTCGAGGCTCTTCCATACACCAACGGAGCAAAATTTCTGCAATGTTAAAGTCCTCAAATTCCTTTTTGTTCACTCTACAGTAAGTAGGTTGAATTTTTAAAAGAGATTCTCTTTTTGACATTATAACTTATACATTATGTCGTCCAACTGGCAGCCATTGCGACTTTCGAAAGCTAACTTGGATGATCCTAGATTCGTTGCCAAAATTAACTATCATTATATCATGATGGTCGTAAAACATAAACTAGTAGCAGAAATATCAAAACCGATGGAACTGGATTCCTAAACTTCACCTACAAAACTGCCGCCATTTTGCCTGGCAGAGAAAATGGAGCATTGCAAAGCATTGTTTCCAGCGCGCATTGCATTGTGGTTGACTAATTCTTTAAATTTTGAAAATAAGATAATCGAATAAAAGTTGTAATTAACATTGCTATATATGTATTCTAGTTACCACTACATTTTGTAATTAAAAATTATTGCTATATACGAAAAAGTTCTTTAGTCTTTTGGCATATAAAYACATATTGCCTCAAGAACTAATTTCAGGTGTACACCTTTCGTATAATTTCCGACATATGAACGTGTCATTTTAGATTATAGGGATGCATGGGATGGGATGAATGGGATGGCATGAACGGGATGAGATGAATGGGATAGTATGAATGGGATGGGATGAATAGGATGGGATAAATGGGATGAGATGAACGGGATGAGATGAATAGGATGGGATAAATGGGATGTGATAAATAGGATGAGATGAATGGGATGGGATGAATGGGATGGGATGAATAGGATGGGATAAATGAGTACATGAATGAATTAATAGTTGGATAAATGGATGGATGAATGAATGGATGGGTAAATGAAATGAATGGATAAGATTTAATGGAGTAATAGATGGTAGAGACGAATGGATGGAAGAATGAGAAACAATCAAATGGCAATAGTATAGCTGTTTCATTTCATTATTAATTCAGTAAATGTTATTCACGGTAATCACGACTTACCATGCAGTATTGACCGTGTTAGTAAGCATGTTGTGCCGAGAACCACTTAACACTTGAGTTTATTTGTTGATTCCCTGGAGCGTTCGGGTATCCATCTCCTCATAACTACTTCCTAACAAAACCAACATTAAAACCATTAGGAAATTAAGAACTGTAATTAGGAAAAAAGAAAAATTATGTTTTTGAGAAAGAAAATATTTGGTTTCGTGTTTAGGAAATTCATGAAACACGCACTTTTCATTTCGTTTCGGCCTCTAATATACACGTCGTCATGGTAACGAATAAACACTTACTTGGAATTTGAACCTAGTGATGCAAGTTGGAAGACTAAGCTCTTGTTCAGTAATATCTGGAAAGAATAGCATAGACAGTCAAAAAGACAGGAGACCCAACCGTTAGCCGTTAGTCCCTCTACTGTGTGTGACATCCCTCTACTGTGTGTGACATCTCTCTACTGTGTGTGACATCTCTCTACTGTGTGTGACATCTCTCTACTGTGTGTGACATCTCTCTACTGTGTGTGANACTGTGTGTGACATCTCTCTACTGTGTGTGACATCTCTCTACTGTGTGTGACATCTCTCTACTGTGTGTGACATCTCTCTACTGTGTGTGACATCCCTCTATTGTGTGTGACATCTCTCTACTGTGTGTGACATCCATCTACTGTGTGTGACATCCCTCTACTGTGTGTGACATCCCTCTACTGTGTGTGACATCCCTCTACTGTGTGTGACATCCCTCTACTGTGTGTGANTCTACTGTGTGTGACATCCCTCTACTGTGTGTGACATCCCTCTACTGTGTGTGACATCCCTCTACTGTGTGTGACATCCCTCTACTGTGTGTGATATCCATCTACTGTGTGTGACATACAGTACCTCTAAAATCTTGCGCAAATCAAAGCACTAATAAGAATAAATCCCCCTCCCCCCCGCATAATACAGATGAAAAAAATGACTAACCTGAGGGAACGATGACGTAACACAGCATGACCTCCTGAAAACACAGCAATCAATAGTGTGACGAGACAAAGTCAGTAAAGATAAATGCTTGCGCAGAGAAAGAGCTTTTGACATTTCCTTCAAGAAAACTCTTAGCAACGCGTAGAAAGCGTTTTAAAGACTTCTAAGCAGATAAAGGTAAAGGCAGATAATCGGCAGCTCTATTCATTCAACGTTGCGCCCTTTACCGGTCCTCCCTTTAGTGCTCTGTCTTCATGGTACTAAAATCTAAGGCTATAGTGATTGGTCAGAACTGGAAACAAGTGCACGCAGGCCTTGCCATAGATTTCTTACCATTGTAACAAACACGACAGTGCGACTGTACTGAAATCCATGACCATTAGACCAGTTTCGAATTCCAAATTACCGCTGTGTTCCTTGATTACAGACTCATTTGCACAGGGTTAGCCTCGTATCAGTGTTTAAATATTCACAAATACCAACGGATAAGTAAAGAATGCGCAACTTCCACAATACAAACATTTTGAAACTTGACGGACCTTGACTGGAACACGTGAATATTCTGCTCAAACTCGAGGCTAACCCTGTGCAAATGAGTCTGTAATCAAGAAACACAGCGGTAATTTGGAATTCGAAAAGGTCTATTAATAGCGTACGTAAAAGTGACAATTCATGATAATAACCTTGGCGGCGTGTTCGCTAACTCTGTTAGGCCCACCTACACTACACCAAGAGACTGGTGCACGCTGTCCCATCAATGGCGAGTGAGAACTGGGTGCTAAGCTATCTTCATCAGCTACTTGCACGATAATAGAGTAACTGTTGAATGTAGAGAATTAAGTTGGATTAGTGATTTTGTGAAATGATTATCCGAACATCTCTAGTATCATCCATTAAATTATAAGGTATAATGATGATGATGATGATAGCCTAGGGCCGAGCTATGCAGGCTATGATGATGATGATGATGATGATGATGACGCAGACAACGCCGATGATGATAATGACGACAGCGATGATGTTTCAACAAAGTAGCTAAGTCATTCTCCCCATGGTGTGGACTGTCATTATGCTCTATGTATGACATGTGTAGCTCTAAAAATAGTGTTTAATCAGTTTTTAGAGAGCTTTACTTTATTCATTCGAGAATGTGGATGGGTGTTGACCTCTTCCTCCAACACAAACAAGGGGGATGTACCTGAAGAGATGGGTATATTAATCTCACCTGGAATGATAGAAAGGCATCCCCTGTTTATAAAGCACTGGAAAATAAAAGGCTTAAAAGATTAATAGATAAATAAACAAACGAACAAACGAACGAACGAACGAATGAAAAATAAATAATACTGGTATAAATAAACTGCAGAATGAATGAATTGATGTGATGGATAAATGGGGTGAATTGATAAATGGGATAGTGGATGAATGGGATGGATGGAAGAATGGGATGGAGGGATAATGGGATGGAGAGATGGAGGGAAGGATAGATGAAGGGATGAATGGAATGGAGGGATGGATGGGTGGGATGGATGATTGGGATGGGATGGAGGTATGAATAGGATGGAGGGATGAATCTAGAATGGAGGGATGTATATGATATAGGGATAAATGGGATGGAGGGATAAATAGGATGGAAGAATGAATGGGATGGAAGAACGAATGGGATGGAAGAACGAATGGGATGGAAAAACGAATGGGATGGACAGATGGGTTGGATGGATAGATGAATAATATGGATGAATAAGCAGGGAGGTTTAATGAATGGAATGGATGGATGAATGGGATGGATGGATGAATGGGATGGATGGATGAATGGGATGGATGGATGAATGGGATGGATGGATGAATGTGGGATGAGTGCATGAATGGGAAAGAATAATAATGCTCTTTTCTCAATTCTTACCAAAGTCTGTACCATATTTTATTCCATTCTTTGGCACCCATCCCTTGGAACGGAAGTAGTGATAAACCACATAACATGGAATGAAATCTTGTTTTGCTGCACAGAATCTTGTCCACATTTGACTGATTGCTAAGGGCTTCTATAAAATAYAATAAATGAAGACAGACCTTGATATACAGCATATATACAGGCCAAAAAATTGTTACAGTTACTACTATAGACCTCTTTAGCTCAGGCGTAATGTTCTCCCTTTTCATCCATAAATAAATAAATAATTTTTCCCATGTGTACTCCTCTTAAGAAAAAGGATCCTTAGTTTGAGTAGCATCCATATTCATATGCCTTTTTATGAACAACCATTAAACAAAGAAATAATATTAAGCAATTTTCAGAATTTTTTTCTGATAGAAATATCACATTTTTGAAAGAAATAATACTCAAGGGAATGACACATGGTATGAAATGGGCGAAACATAATGCCCACTCTAAAGRGGTCTATTGTTTCACAATTTCAGTTAATTTTTATAAGAGTCGTAAACCTATTGAACAATGTACACAATACAAGATTGTATTTACCTTCTCATTATCATAAACTGTAAGGCAACCCAGTCCATATGACAGAAAGAAAGCCTGATAATAACAACGGCAATCAGTCTATGCCAACACTCAAAATACAAAATAGACCAATCACTATAGCAACATCATCCCCCTTCCAGCACTCTCTCCTGTTTAGGTGTTGTGAGGTACAATATCATGTAATATATTCCATTCTAGTATGGTGAGGTGTTCATCAAAAGCAAATTCTCAGTGTGCTGAAGGTACATGATGGGTGGGTCTTTACACAAATGCTATTGGAGATGCTATTTCCCACATTTTCTAGGCATATTGCTGGTCAGAAGAGGGGGTTAACAGGCTCTCAGAGAAATAATCTGTCATTGTTCATTGTCCCCAATGTCCCATCAATTTTGATGAAAATGCTCTACTTCAAATTCCAGAGAACATTTCTCACTAGATTTGGTTCAAATTGTCTATGTGAGCATCCCTAGAAAACACAACAAAATACTAACTATGAACTGGCAGGACTTAAAATAATGGCTTCACATCAGACAATGTCCACCAAGAATTGGAACTTGTCCAGTCAAATGTTTTCCTTATGGGTCATTTTGAGCAGTAACGTCGAGCCAGAAATGAGGTATGACTGAGCTAAACCTAATTTGTCTGGTCATCATGACTGACAACTTACTGGCCATTATTTTAAGCCCTGAACTGTARAAAAGAAACTTGAGAACCATGACTACATTTCTCTTCATACAGTGTACGAACCTCTTCTAAACTTAGCTGGAGATGTTCAAAGACCTTGTATGGATCTTCTTTCTTGTGTGATGTTGTTTTTTGCTTAGAAGTTGAATCTTGACTTGGTAATGAATCATCATTGCTGGTTGAGAATAACAAAAACATTTTTCTTAAAGATGATAGTCCTTGATTGGGGTAATCAGGTAGTCAAGTGATCAGTTGACAAAGTGAACAATTTTGCATTCTCAGGCAGGGCTTAAAAAAGGCCAGTCAGTCACCAGTCAAAATGACCAGCCATTTTAGTTTTAGCTTGGTCATACCTTGTTTCTGACTCAATGTCACTGGTCAAAATGACCAACAAGGCAAAGGTTTAGGTTCCATTATTTCTGGCCAGACATTGTCCAGTGAGTGACTGTTATTTTAAATGATGCAAACAATGGGAAAGGTGGCCTATACAATCACTTCATGTAGCCTCAACAACATATTCATGATTAACAATGTGAAACAACATACTTTGGTAATTGTTCTTTGTTGTATCTCAAAACATCCTGCATGACTTCATCCACATCTCGGTTGCTTTTGATATTTTCACTACTTGTAACATCTTCCCCTGGGTCTTCTTCTTCCTCTTCCTCTCCTTCCTCTACCCTGTCTGACTCTTCTTCATTCTCCTTAAATTACAAATTACAATTACAAGRCAAACAAAACACAAACAAACCCAAAACAGCAACGAACGATATATATACCTGTCTTATATCCCCAGAATCAGTAACTTCTAACTCTTCTTTTCTCCTCTTTCTATCAGGGGAACCCTCCTCTCCTTCTAGGGTTTCATCATGTTTGTTTTCTTGATCCTCATTCTCTATACATTCTCTTGCTGTCTCCACAGGATTAGCTGCACTGACTTCATTAGATAATCTGTACCATTCCTTGTGGTTCCTGAATCTATTACAGCATCATACCAATATTCAATAAGGGGACATGGGTGGCATGCCTAGGGTTGCTGGTTTGATTGTCAACTGATCAGTATAAGAGAGATAATGCATAGACAGCACATTATGCAAATGCTTTTAGGATTGTCACATTATGCTTTACTCTCCTTTACTCTGCATATACATGTAGCTTTATATGATAATGCTAAGGATGTCTGTATAGTAAGCTTATAGGTAGATTATTCTCAACCAGTGTGTGTGTGAAAGGAGAGGGATAGGGGCAGAAATTTGGGGCTGACTTCAAAATTTAGGAGACTAGTATATACTAAGTACAGGAAAAGTGAATGTGTATGCATGGGTTATAGGGGCGGCAATAAGAGGCTCAAGGGCTAAAACTTGGAAATATATGTACATATTAGCCAGGCTGCAACAACTGGTGAACACTGCCTATAATACTACATGTAAATATCTGTCCAAGGTGTTAAAAAATGTGTATCTGTCATTGCAAGGTCATCACCATTCTTGCTTCATTACCTTTCAAGATGGCGCAAGAAACGTTTGAGGGGACTATTACTGTATTGAAGTAGTTTTTCCATTGCAAATGTTAACATTTGGCTAGACATAATGCCACAATACCTTTCTTTTCGAATGTCTCGGAATTTGGACTGACGTATCTGCCTTTCCTTTGGAGGTACTGCAAAACAAATAAGGGATGAGATTAATGATACTATAGAGACTTGGCACCATCACGTGATGGTAGCCATGACGGGAGGCACAACAATAGAGTCGTTCTCCCCTGGGAAACTGAATCCTTTCTCATGTAAATCAGATTAGACTAGATTCAATTGTTCCTGCCTCCTGTCATGACTGCCATCACATGATGGTACAAAGCCTCTATTACCATGTTTAAACATCTGGGCCGGGTTGTTCAAAGCTGGATTAGCGCTAATCCAGGATTAACTCTATAGTTCTTATTAAGAGTTAATCCAGGATTAGCACTAATCGGGCTTTGAACAACTGGGCCCTGGTATTTTCCAGTGAATATAATGAATTGCTATTATGATTTGAGCACATAAAGTTAGTTAGAAACTGTGTGCAATGTTTTACTTACATCTTCGTAGTCTTTCTGAATTCGAAAAAGCTTTTTGGGAAATATTTGATATGACTTCATATTCAGGTTTACTTCTGGACAAGTTTCCTTTACCAAAAAATCCCTTTAGAGAAAAAAGAAAAAGCTTTGTAAGTGAGTTCTACTCAGGCCTACAGCAAATTGGTGGCACATATGACTACCTCACAGATCGAATATTGTGTAGTTCCAGAAATTGTCCATATACCCCTCCTTCTTCCCCCCAACAGAGGAATTTGGAATTTCTGGGCCAGGGTAGGGGGGATCTGGGGATCTTCCTCTGTTGGGGGAAATGGATAATTTCTGGAACACTATCTTGAGAAAAAGATTCTTTGGTTCATTCAAATCCATATTCATGTGTCTTTTCATACGCACCAATTAAACAAAGAAATGATACTATAGAGAATGACACATGGTCTATAATGGGGAAAGAGTGGATTAGGTCTATAAGTTTTGCGGAGGGAGAAAAACCGGAGAACCCGGAGAAAAACCTCCAATCGATGGAGAGACCTAAAATACTACAAAGCCTAATGAAGAATTTTGCTCACCATTTTGTAGAGGAACGTCAAGTCACCATGGTTTTCAATAACAACACAATTATCACGAAAATAACCTGTATAAAAAAACCAACGGCTGTTACAACACTCTTTGTTAGTAATACTCTCTATAGGAACAGGAAAAGGCGCCTCTTTTGGGTGAAACTTTGCTCCTTTTTTTCTTCGTGRGTTTTTGAGTTTCGAAGTTTCCGCCATTTTGTTTTATGATTTGAGTAGCCGCTGTACATACTGAACAAGGAAGCTGGCTCAATAAATTAAAAGTTGTGACGTACTTCCGGGTCCAGCAGCTCAAAAATTACCTAAGATAAAGCGAAATTTTACTAAATAATTAAACGTTAACCTGGGRAAAAAAAGAAAACTCGACATGAAATCCTATCAAGATGAAAAATCTTTATAGAACTGCTTTGCGTTTTGGACCCGGAAGTCGTTTTTCATGCGTAGGTGTGACGTCACTTCACATTTCTACGCTTATCCGCTTTAACAAATACTAGTGGGCTCAGAAACAAAAAAATGGCGGTTAATTTGATCAACAAGAAATAAAGCCAGAGAAAAATTGGAAGGGAGTCTTTGCAGAATTTTGACTTTTGATTGCGCTTTATAGCAAGAAAATCTGAATATCAGGACCGTATCTACAAGATGGCGACTGGAGATATCAAGAATAATCTGCGTAAATTAATGGTCGAGCTGAAACAAATACGTTACCCTTTGACTGAAGTTGATTTGAAAGGACTTGCTCAAGGAACTCCAAGATGTTTCCTGCCTATTCTGCACTATATTTTTCTGGATTACTCGGTCGTTTTGACTGAATTCTTTGCTAGAGATTACGAGCTGTACGGTAAAACAGACTTGCGCTTCGTAGAAACGGTGTACAAGGTGCTGAGAGACGTCTTTCACTACAAACCTCCTCTCACCAGAGAACAGTTTCTTTCTATTGGCTACGCAGAAAGAAAGATTATTGAACTTTGTGATATTCTCAAAATATGTCGAGAAAAGAGTGCAGAGCTGAATCCCAAGATTTCAAAAACCGAGAAGAAAAATGCACAGAGTAAAGACAAAGGCAAAATGTCTGAAGTTGGTAAAGAAGTTGAAAGTCAACCATCTAAATTATTAAAAAAAACAGGCTTTTCGCAGAACGAAGTCTCCAAAAAGAAGGCAAGCAATAACGATACCTTGAAGAAAACAGCTGAAGAAAATAAAGAAAACAGTTCTATATATCCAGGTTTTCATTTGCAGGATAGTATTAATGAACCTGTGAGAGACAAACGAACACTAGAACAGAAAAGTAAAGTAAAGAGCGTTAGATGGAAAGAAGATGGATTAAGTACGATTAGATTGAATGATATGACTTCAGTCACTCCATCTACAGCATTAACAGAGATAAACAACAGCAATGCTCAGGCTTCTACTGCTCCGGCATTCTCTGCTTTGAAGAGTACATCAATGAGAGTACCAACAAACACTATACCTATGCCAGTCACCATGACGACCATCCCTAAACCTAGCCCTGAGCTCATGTTAACACCTATAGGAAAGACAAAACATCAAGCAATACCGTTATCAGGGTCTCRGCATGATCATGGGGATGTTACCAATGTCTCGCTCATTGATTTGACTGACAGCACCAACGTACAACAACCTAAAATAGTGAGACATGGATACAATGACGAGAGAGAAACAGAAGCTTTGAGGAGTATGCCTGACCAAAAGAGCTTACTAACATCACAAGAGAATGAGCTGAAACTACTTAAGGGTACTGTACAGGAATTACAAGAAAGATTAGAATCTGTTCTATCCCAAAATAATGAGATGTCTGCAAGAGYAGTGTTACTAGAAAGCAGAGTAAAACTTCTAGAGGAAGCAACGAGTGGAAATCAGTGTGGGAATTGCATGAACACTAACTATACTCTACCAAATCATAATGTCAGCACAAATCCATTTTATACTAATGTTCCTGTTTCTATTTCTGGTGTTCAAAGAGACTCAGGAACAGTCAGTATAGCTACAGCTTATCCACAAATGATGGATCAGCAAGATCATGTTTCTCATTCAACGRCATCTTCCAGCAGGAGTCTAATGAATGAATTCACCAATAGTCAAAGTAGTTCTATGTTTCAAGATGCTAATGCTAGAAGCAATCATGTTGGTAAAATGTATCCTAGTCAGTCAATTTCACATGCAGTTGAAGTACCCCAGGCATCAATGTTAACTGAAATCTCTGATGATGATGATGATGATAATGATGATTTTGGCACGTCAAATGTCAATACATCTAGCATCAGTCCTAAAGGTTCTCCACTTTCTCACACACCTAATAAAAGTACTGGAACATCTTTAGAAGCCATCAGTCCATTTTCAACCACACAAGAAATCCATTTAAAATTCTCTGATCCTTCAACAACTGCAACGATAATGAACGTAGAGAGAAGACTCCAAGAAACTAGAGAAATGTTGGCAAATGCTGCTAGATTTGCAGTCACAAGCTTGCCTTAGCTGTAGATATTACATCTTTCCTCAAGCATATATTGCCTATATACCTATGTACTATTGCATTCTAAATTCAATATATAACTTATTTAAGTAAAGCTATTATTTTGATAATTGGTTTGTTAGAATTCCTTGTTGAGTGTATTTTTAGAGATTACCTGGTGGAAAATGTGGAATATTTTCGGTCTAAGACTGTGGATGTAGTTAAGGTTACATATGGTACAGATCACTTTAACCTTACTGTGAAAACCACTGTGAACAAATTAATACATGATGTAAAATKAAGTGCAATATAATTTGGCATGTTGATAAACATTCTAATGAAGTCAGCCCCACAACTAACAGTACTTTAAGCTGGATAACTTTTTGGTCATGTGAACTAAAAAGTTTGGTTTGAAAATATCTCTAAGAGCGTTAAACGATAGGAAATGGCAGCCATGTTTGTGATTTTAACAAAGAAGTCTTTTACTAGCAGTGATAAAGTAGAATGAATATAGATTTCATAGAAAACAAACCAAATGTGAAGCTTAATACAAGCCATTGTATCTTAGGTTGATAACAGTTAACTTTGGTAAATAAATTATATGTACATTTTTTTCTTAATAAAAATCTTCATATTAAATTGCAAGAATATCTGCACAATTCTGTTACCCTTGGTAACAGGGTTTTTTTTCATCTATTTTTGAAGTGATCCCTCTAGTCTATGCTTCTAGTCTGCATAGAAGATAGRAGGGGCTTGGAAACAATGGTAAGCACCTTCCTAGTCACTGTCACTTTAGTATCTATCTGGGACATAATCTATTGATGGTCATAAACTGACATATTCAAGAATAACTTAATATTTTTTAATAATTTACATGACCCACAATATTAATGGAAACATTGCATGAATTTTTTGTTCCTCTCAAAAATGTAAGTTTTTCTTCTTATCTACACTCTTTCCCAACTGGGATTTCCACTTGATTTTTCACTCACTGGAAAATAGTTAAAATTAAATGGTGTTCCAGGAGGATTTGCATGTTGTCTCCTTTGTTTCTGTTCTTTTAATATTCTCCAAATCAGTCCTTGCTCACCTGGAAATTCTAAGGTAATCAACAATGCAGGGTTTAAAAACTAAATTCAGTGATTCCCCTCTTTAAGAGACAATTTTAGCTTRGGTTTAATGTTTTCCCATTTAAATTTCAGTGCACATGTCATTCCCTAGAGTATCATTTTTCAGTTTAACAGTTGTGCATGAGATGACACATGAATATGGATACAAAGAGTCTTATTCTCAAAAGAATGYCATGGTTTGAAATGGAAAACCATTATACTCGAGCTAGAAAGGTCTTTTAGGATTTAAAATTTCATAAATTCCTAAGATGATGTTTTTGGAGTAAAACTAGTTTCTTTTAGGTTTATTTTACTAAGGTGTTCTGTAGTTCCTTTTGTGCTTGGYTTCTCTTCTTGTGTTGAAGGTGCTGTCTGTTGTGCAGGATCAACCTGGGCTGTGCTCTCTGACCAAACAGAGACTAGCTGTAAAGTCTGTGCTTCTGTTTGCTTACTCCTCCTACGTTTCCAATTTTCTTCTGCTTTTGTAATTGCTGCTGCAAGCCTGGGTTCATGTTTGAAGAGAACAGCTGCTTGGGCAGGAGGACTGYGTGAAATCAATGAAATGATCATGATGTAACTAGGGGTCATGAAAACAGATGATGATGATGATGGATGATGCTGATGAATGTCAGGTCATAATGGATGATGATGGTGATAACAGATGATGCTGAAGGGAAGGTTATGACAATGGATGATGCTGATGACACTGCAGTCATGACAATAGATGATGCTAATGACACTGAGGTGTTGACAATAGATGATGATGATAACACTGAGAGGTGATGATGATGACAGTGAGTTGATGATGATTACAGTGTGAACTGATGATGATTACAGTGTGAGCTGCTGATGATTACAGTGTGAGCTGATAACAATGGATGATTTTGATCACACTGTTAGTACATGATAATGGATGATGCAGATGATACCTACCCTACTCTATTTTTTCTCATTCTTTGTATAATTCTGTAATGACTAAGATCAGGATATCTTGGCTTTTTGGTTATTCTGTGAGTGGAATCAAAACACTATGTCAAATTCTTCTTTGAAAAGAATTCCGACTGTATACCACCGTTCTCCATTCTCTGCTTCTGTATTCGCAAATTTTGTAAGTGAAAGACTCATGGTACCAACGTGACATGTTGACCATAACAGTTCCGTGTCCAAGGATGTTCATGAGTTGAGCAGTGATATTTCACTCTGTGCCTGGTTTTAAAGACGTCCTTAATTTTGCACCATGACCGTGCCGTGTAACAATGGGCACAATCATTCAAATCTGCTGCGTTAAATCTGGTCATGCGCATGCCGTTCCCTGTGAGTCGAAGCAGGACTGAAAGAAGACTTTCATCGAGGCCATAGCCACCACTTGGACAGTGGTCCGGTTTTCAAAAAAGGTGGTCCTATTTTTTATATTTAATTGTAAAACGTGGTGCGGTTAAAACCGGACCAGCCGTACTGGTGGGCACGGCCCTGTTCATAACTTTATTCACATACCGCACATATCCTGTGCTCATAATAGAAAAAAACGCGCACATATCCTGTAGCGCACATATCACCAGTCTTCATAATACAAAAAAAAAAACGCGTGTCAGCAGTCTCACCTGTGCCATAATTTCTTCCACGTCTTAAAAGTATGCGAAGTCCACGTCCAACTACTCATGGCGATCCCTGCGCCGAATAGTGATGATAATCCTAACTCAATGACACCTAAGTTCGCTCGCTCACCGACCACGCACGTGTTGGCTTTACCCTTGACTTCCTTGTCTGCTACACAACTGGAGGTAAAGATAACTAAAGGTGTAAAACTACCAGTAAATCGCGGGTATAAACACTGATGAGTTTATATTCCTTTGTAAGGTTTTTTGTTGGGCTTATCTGTTGCATATTCATGGCTATTGTTGAAAAGAAAAACAACTTGCGGGGCTTCCAAGACACATAGCCAAGCACGGTTGAGAGAGGCCAGTAACTGGACGGCTGACCTAAATATTACTCCAAAATTCAATTTTTTTTTCTATATTGTTCGCCTTTATTTTCCAATTCAAAGCTATTTCTATAATTTTGCTGTTTGCAATTTATTCGCAATTATAAGCCGCCTATTCGTTTCTGCCAAAGATAATGCGATTAAAAATTCCCCGCGATACATTTAGTGCCAAATTAGAAAGAAATACAGCGTGTATCACGGGCTTTAGTCTAGAAACTAGGAAGGCACTACTTACTGAAGGTACGTCCTGAAACTCTGCTCCCAATCCTGTAGATTGTGGTATTCGTACAGATGACATGCGAATGTGATGAATCCAAAAGCAAAGGCAACGAATGCGAATATTCCTTAAAAACGAAAATATCATTGTTGTTCAATCATGCAGCTTTAAGTCACGGTGAAAAACATGCACCACGGAAACCTGAAGTGGCGGTAGTGCACTCGCCTCTCACCTCTGGGGTCTCGAGTTCAACTCTTGGACTCAGCATCGCATGTGAGTAAAGTTTGTTAGTTCTCTCCCAGGTGATTTGAGAGTTTTTCTCATGTTAATTTCTCCGATTTTTCTCCTTCCGCAAAACCCAAGACGCTAAATTCCGATTCGATCTGTGAGTTAGCCGTGCCCTGACTTATATCAGCCCAGAAGTTGTTTCAGGGTTCAATAAGTGAGTTAGCCGTGCCCTGACTTAGATCAGTCCAGAAGTTGTTTCAGGGTTCAATCTGTAAGATAGCCATGCCCTGACTTAGACCAGCCCAGAGGTTCTTTCAGCGGGATATAATTTGCTTGCAAAACTTACCAACTCTTATTATGGTTTCTTTGATTTTCATTGACGCTCTGCTGTTCAGTAGGTTTGGGTTAGACTTTCGAAGTCTAAACAGTGCGATTATACCTTAAAACATGCAATACAATAATCATATATATTTTTTCAATGCTGCAACAAAATTGCGCGATAAACTTTTGATGCGTTACACTAGGCAACGTACTYTTTGTGCAACTTGTGTTGTGGCAGGTGCACATTAAGTTACAAGGAACGCAACGCTCCGATTAACGGCGCATAAAGCAAATTAGGTTTGGGTTTAAACGTATTTACTAAACTATAAAATAGCTTTTTTCCTCGATCAACTGAGATAACTGTTCACTAAATGACATGCGCGTTTTCTTTAAAACGCCTGCTTGCCTTAGAGAAGATTATATATACTGAGTTGCTCAGGAGCTGCCGATAATCTACTCAACACACATTTTGTTATAATTTACAGTGTTAACGCAAACGATAAATTACCTTTGACAAGAAAAAAGCCTCCGATAGTAAGGTTTAGTCCCAGAGGGCCAAGGAGAAAGCCAGCTCTCATGTTGGCGTTCTCGTAACCAACAAAGCAAATACCACTGATAGAATTCGCATCAACCTGTGACAGATCAAGGATTATTACATAGGTCACGTGCGTCACTAACGAACTGACCACGTGACATCATTCACCTACACTGGTTATCGTCATGTGACATTGTCGCGACATGAAATGTGTTTCTTGCTGCACACTCAAAGCCATGCAGTGTGACTTAAATTTATTTATTCTAAAAAATCTGAGAAATACTACCACACAGCAAAATTGCATGTCTATTCTTTTCCATGCTGAGCAGACGTAGCTTGACGAGGTACTTTTTTGTTTTACCGCATGACACACTTACCCCTCTTAACAGCAGAACACATGCAGTGAGACAGGCGGGGATAATCCAAGAAATAGCGTGAAAATACAACGTCTTGCCCACAAAGTTATCCCTAGTGCTGCCCAGAGACTTGAATGAGATACACCAGGAATAGGCCAACATGACAAACCAGRCAAGACCAGCCATAGAGAAATAATAGACCAGAACAAAGGTAAGAAGACACAGGAAACTGTCTTCTTCGCTGGAAACAAAAAAGACAATATTTATAAAGGTGTTGGCCTTGATTCGTTGAAAGACAACATTTACAAAAGTGTGCATGGGCCTTGATTCGTTGAAAGACAACAYTTATAAAGGTGTTGGCCTTGATTCGTTGAACGATCTAAACTCCGAAAGTACCAAAGATGAATGGGCTGGCGCACGCACGCGCGCTTTTTGGCGCCAAAGAAAATTTCCCGCCAAAATCCACAGGATTTTATATGAGCGTATAAGCGATGTAAAAGAGTTAAGACGAGCGCGTTTTAACGCAGAATTTCCCGCCAAATGGCCAAACTTACAGGAAGCCCATCATCATAAGACATCGAAAGAACCATTGAGCAACATGGGGCTTTTCAGTTATCCTAACATTGGAAAAGAACCGAAAACAAAAGAATTCCTTCTTCTTAGGGACTGGAATCCTTTTTGATGTTAACAGGTAGGGATTTAAATCAAATAGTTCCTTGTTGGTTGTTGTTACATTCAATATAATTTGTCTTATCAACCATAAATKTAGGTAGGGAATTGCTACTAAACGGGGTCTAATGTCTATCACTTGTTTGAAATTTGGATTGAAAGAACTCCAAGCATTTTAGTTTACCTTGGTTCTCCTAATCTCATTGTGTCGTCCTTACGACAAACGACACGATCTCTCGCTCCTTCACTAAATTGAATCAAGAATCCAATGGACGCGACACAGAAACAACCATTCATGAAGAACAGGATCGCGGATGGATATCGGTACTGAGTCTTCCAACCAATCAGAAACGTTACCTGGGAACACCGAAAATTTCACACTCTTATTTCTTTGGAAAATCATGGTTTGTGTGGCGCTATTACACTCCTCGTCTCTCAACTCTGGGGTCTCGGGATTGAGTCGTGTACTCGGTATATCATGTGTCATAATCCCAAAGTTCGAGGGTTTTTCTTCGGGTTCTCCGGTTTTCCTCACTCCGCAAACCTAGCACGCTTAATTCCGATTTGATCTAAGTTAGCTGTACCCTGACTTTGATCAGCCTAGTGTCTCTTACCCAAACCCTAAGCCTTGGGAAATAGCGAAGCATGCTAAAGAGGGGAAATCATAGTCAAGGACAGGTATATAGATAGGGTGGAACAAGGACAAATAGAGGAACCAAGTGTTACTTACTATAGTAAAAAGAGTACATAGTGTAGTAAGTGCTCCAAATCCTCCAACAAATCTGTGAATTCTCGTGTGTTCTTCTTCAGAGAAGATGGGGTTCCTGCATTGTATACCACAACCCACAATGCCTTCATACCAGCTTGCCTCATGTTCTGTCTCTACTAATGGAGCCCGACAAGCTGACTCGTTAAGTATAAGCTTCTTGATCTAAAATTGTGAGAAACACATCCATATAAAAAAACAACCTCCAGCTGCCCAGTACAACATGACTGCCGTGTAGCCAGTTCCTCAGACCGTGAAACAGTTTCTGGTAGGCGGTGTATAATAGTCAGATAAGCACAAAAGAAAACGATGGAAATAAGATCTACGAACCTCTATTAGTCTACTAACTATTTGACAGTCCGAGGAAAATCACTMTATGATAGCTCCTCTACGTATTTCATAGTCTTCGATATGGCCGCCAGATTTTTCCAACATGGAACTGAAAGTTTCGTCAACTATTCAATGCACATCTTCAGTGGATATTACTTAAAGTAATTAAATTAGCTTTTTTACCCCTAATTTTTTTCAAAGTGGATCATAAGATCAATAATTGTTAATCTTAAAGAAAGAAATTCGGTTACTAAATATATGACATTGTCAGCGCAGCCGGAATAAGTTGCAAAAAAAGATCTTTCAATGATTYGTATGTTAATACGTGGTATAAACAAAATTGATCAATAAACAACCAGACACTGACCTATAAAGAGCTGTTTACTCACAAATTATAATTTTTTGTTTTCCAAAGGACAAAGAGAAGAAGCGCTAGATTAAATATTTGACTTCGTTTTGAGTTTAGAAATCTTGTAAATCAACTGTGATTAAAAAACTTAAAGACATAGGTCACTTTGGGTCAACTTTGAAAACTGTAGTGTCTAGTTGTCAATAACTTCTTTATTCTAGAAACTAAGCACCGCATTACGTTGTCTAATGGTAAAGCGACGAATTTGAAATCAAAAACTCACCGTTCCATTACAGCCTGCCTTTGGGAATTTCTCACATTTTAAAAACTCTGGCCATTGTCCGGCGTAGTAGCGTTCAACCACAGAACACGGTTTACGAGTAGCTAAGCACTGTTCTTGACAAGGCAACTTCACGGTAGAATTCTCACATTTAGGAACATAAACTTCGCACAGAAATGGCTGAAGAACGGACCAACACTTGGGTAGAAACCGTAGACCTTCCCATCGACGGAGATTGTCTCGAACTTCTTTCTGATTTTTGGAGTCAGAAACAAGATCTGTGCTGGTGTATTGGAAGTCGAGAGGTTCTCCTAAACAAGTTCGTTTCTCTAGCCGTTCACAGGTATATTTGGCTGATAAAACATTCATTTGGATCAATATTAAAATTAGCAGTAATAGTGAATTGGATAGACAAAGTGTTAATGTCATGATGAAGAAAAACAAGATGGCAATCCCGGCCACTCGCAGTACTTTCTAGGAACTCCGCATTGRATCAAAGTTGGGTACTCAGAACGGAAAACAAAGCTCTTGAATTGATATATGATACCCTTCTTCAACACCAAGGGAACTCTTGACGCGTTAACGATTAACGATTAATGCATACGATGTTTCGCCACCACAGGAATCCAGGTACGACAAGAACATCATTCTTCACTCCCCTCCCATGCTTACCAAATCTTAATAAGAATTGGGGRTTTCGAAAAAATGCTAAATTAATACTAAAGTAAAAAGTTATACAAAACTGAAAGAGTTTGCGAAGGAGAARCAAAGATCCACGAAGTCCATTGGAATTCAAATCAATGACGTCAACCAAGGAAGAATTCGAATTATTCATAAAAGAAGGAAAGAAACTATTCTCTACAGATGCGTGCATTGGCCTACCTCGAGACAGTTCAGTATTATGAGGCGTCATATGGATGCCAGACCTGCTGATCATGGTAGGAAAGTGGGCCCTCTGCGGCTGTCCTTTGCTAGCTSTGCAAGATGGACTTCAGTGGCAGATCCAAAATGGTCGCCAAGAATAAAACCTGGTAAGAATTGGCTTCACTGAGGGTACAAGATCTTACTAAAGGGGGTTCCATGGATGCGCCATTGGACTTCTTCTCTTCTCCAACTCGTTTCCTGCGTCCTTTGCACTATCTGGTCATCTATATATAATTTGAAAACGAACCTCAGATAGCATATCTGGCTGATGCATGTGAACGTGCATGTTGATCAAGGCTGCTGTTAAATGTGGGCCGTCATAGACAGTGTGACAATTAAAMGTTTGAGCGCGGGAGACTCAGTGACCGCGAGAGACATCAACATTACTACACTAGAGCCAAATATTTTTATCCCTTGTCATCTTCCTTTTTAATCTTGTCTTTTCTTCTTTCCTCCATGGCTCCTCCTAGCTCTTTTTGTACCTCTCCTTCTCCTTCTCCTTCTCCTTCTCCTTCTCCTTCTCCTTCCCTCGCCTCCTCCTCCTCCTTCTCCTCCTCCTTCTCCTCCTCCTCCTCCTCCTCCTGAGAAACGGCTGCACTACAGATCATGACAGAAATATGCAGCTATTTGTAAAGTATAAGTCAGCCGATCACTTGTTTCCAGTCCCTTGTTTCTGTCTAGTTGATAATTCGACATCCAGTTGAGCCCGATTCACGCTCAACTCGGAAACACTATACACACTAGTAAATCTATATGGTCGATCGATCAAGTATTAATATCACGTGAATCCGTCTCAGTCGAATATAAAAGGGATGTATTTCAGATATTGTAGTCTTTCAGTCTGCTACTTTGTAGCAGCAATTGCCTACCAGTACCATGGGTTTTTCTAAGGGAGTTAATAGCGGTCTTCTACAAGCTGCTTTAACTGTTTTCATGTTAAAAACAGCATATTCCATGAATTATAATTATTTGTCTTCAACAAACAGCAGTGTGGCCTTTTCCTCTAATTGGATGACCAGCGAAGTTCCACAGTTCTCTGACCATTTTACGTACCCAAACAAGCCTTCCAGCACAGTTCCACAGTTCTCTGACCATTTTACGTACCCAAACAGGCCTTCCAGCACAGTTCCACAGTTCTCCGACCATTTAACAACGTACCCAAACAGGCCTTCCATTACAGTTCCACAGTTCTCTGACCATTTTACAACGTACCCAAACAGGCTTTTCAGCACGGTTCCAGCAAGAAGTTTCAGCACACAACGAACCTCTACTCTTCAACAAGCTTCATCAAGCACCTCGCTTTTCAGCCAGGGAATTACATCTACGGTACCATTGAACACTGGTATATCAGTACCAAGCAGTGAAATCCTTCCAGCCCGCGCTACTAGAAGTGTTCAAGCAACGAGCAGTATCATTTTGGTAAATATACATGAAGTATACATCATAGGCTTGGACGTAATGTCTTCCCATTTCAGATCACTTGTTCAGTATTCTCTTGAGAATAAGATTCTTTATGAGTTGTATCCATATTCATGTGCCTTTTAATGTGCAACCATTAAAC